TAAACTTCCAGATCTTTCAATATCAGTTATATCTTTGTCGATGCAATTTGCAATTGAAACTAAGACCATGATGGCCTAGTCATATTTCTTCAAATTATTTATTCTTTATTCAATTATAATAAGAGCTCTTTGATATTCTTATCCAATTTATTATTTCTGAAATTTATCAGCTACCATCCTCATGGAATATTGGCTATCCTGTCTAATTAGATACCCTCTTTATCCCTAAAACTTAGTATCTGTAAGCTAGTTGTGGTTGCATTTTCTTTGTTGATAGGCTTTTGATAGGTCAAGGTTTAGAGAAGGTGAATTGAATTATCTCAACTTGCTTTGTAATTGGCCATTTGCCCTATGCTTGTTTCCGGATTTGAGGATGGTAGGTTGGGGAAGGAACACAGAACTAAAAGCACAGTCTTCTGTGGGCTTAGTATGGCACCTGTATGGTGTGCACTGTCTCTTGCTTGAAATACTGTCTGCCTGACTGTAATGGCCTTGGTCCAATTTTTGCCTAACCAAACAACTTGGTCTAGTTGAGTTTAACTCGGTCAGGTTTGCAAAAGTATCTAGTTGGGTTGCTCCAGGATTGATGATTGGGGCTGCTTGGTTGGCCTAATCTAGTTGGGCTATATTTGCTATGTTAAAATTGGTTAGTCATGGGATTAGCCTAACCTAAATCATTTTCTTCTAACTGACTTGCACAGTGACACCATTTTACATAATTACTTTAATCTGGTTAAAAGAAGAAACATAGCAATCCTAAGCAGAATAGATTTTGACAATCTTTTTTACTGTCTTACAATCCTAAAACATAGGATCTGTCTTACCTTAATTTACTGTTTTACAATCTTTTTTCATGCAAATTGTGTATATACCATCAGTATGTGTAATATTTATCTTATGCTGTTTCAACACTTGGGTTTTATAGCAGTGCATTAATCACATGGAAAATATCCCATTGCTTTACAAAGTTATAGCTTAAGTTTCATTCTTTACATAAAAGAAAATCTTAGGAACTGTAAATTTCCTTTAATTTGAAATTCAAAGGGGATAGAAAATGACAATGGAGCATTGGTTCAGTAAAAGGATTAGGGAATTTAGGTTGGCAATGCCCCTAAAAGATGGAAATTATAGAGAAGCAGGACTAAAGGCTTGGATTTTAACCATCCTTAATCTACTCTTGTGATTTTCTAGCTTGTGACTTCTCTAACACCCTTAAAAACTTCAATTGGCGTATTATGAAATCCTGTATGTTACTAAAAATAGAAGGATGAAAACAAGAGTAGTGATGCTTCAACTACTTGTAGTAGTTAATGTTTAAGATCTTTTAGATATAGATGGGCCCTAGGATTTTGAAGCCTTAGGCTATGAATATGATGTAATCTATTCAGATGTGGTGCTAATTTCAAGGAGATTTTAAAAATGTTAAAGAAAAACCCTGCTTGCTGTAAAAATGGAAGATGGACATGCTTGTTGTAGTTGTGTCTGACGATTTGTGGAGCACTCTTTGCTGGTATGCACCCAGGGCTAATGATGAAGTTTTTCCTTATAATTGCAATATTTAGATGTCTTTGGTCATGTAGTGTAGATCAAAGGCTTCTTGTAGTGCACAAGGCTAGTGATAAGCTTGCTCATGGTTACTTGGATTTTGAGTTATTTTGCGTCAAAAAATGTAGATCAAAGGCTAGAGATTTTTTGTTTTCTTTTACAAATAAGAATCTAAAGTTGATGATGCGGTTCGTTGATTTCTGACAAGGATCAAAGTTCTCAAGCATCATATGACAGTTCTCTTCTTTTGCTAAGATTAGCCAATTCATTCTCTAGTTTGCTAATTTGGAAAATTAGCATTTGTCAATATCCCTATTGCAAACTCGAAAATTTTAAATGCAGTGCTGAGTGAAATTACCTCCACTTTCATGATAATCACTTACATGGAAATTGTTATGAATTCAGTGGACTGTTATTATTAGGCAAATCATGTTAAGTAACATAAAATGATGATGTTTTATGATTGTGTTTTGACTTTTATACTTTGCATGTTCAAGTTTGTTGGTTGATAATTTTTATAGTTGTTTTTGAGAAAAGGAATATTTTCAGTTGAAGTTTTACCGAATAAGATTGTTGTTTTACCTACTCGGTCATTGACTTTGTGCTTTTTTTGTGACTAGTTTCTTTACAAAATTCATCTTATGCTTAATGCTGTTCTTGTTTTGCATTGTGCTAGAGTTTCACTAGAAGTATAATCTTGTTTTTGAATTTTGTATGCCAAAGACATTATATTCCCTTTCAAAGTGGTCGATAGCAAGTGAGATGGTGTAAATATCAAACCTATTTTTTTTTTGTAAATACCAAGTCCTACTGAATAACCATGGTAAATTACTATGAAAATGTTTATTTTTGGATAAAAATTGCATCCAAATGCCAAGAGTGAGCATAGGTGCCACAGCAAGCTTGCTTCTTCATGAACAATGTGCAAACGGAGCTCTGGTCATAGAAATAGTTTCCCTGTTCATAAAGGTAAGATTGTAAACATTGGTTAACCCTTTCCGAATTTAGTATTGGTAAATGCCTTCTGTGCCCTGTCGGAGTTTTGGTTATAAACGCTTATGATATATCAATAATACCTTATAGCTGATGGGTTGATACATGTCAACTGGTACTATATCCATGATGATTTTGGATTCTTTGTAAATGTTTTGCTAATAATATAAGCCATATGTTAAAATGTGTGAAATTTCATCTAATTTTTTTGTTTTTATTGTTGCAAGCATCCCATTTATTGTTCTCTGTATTAGTAAATGGGATACTTTTGTTTGTTATATTTTCTTATTTTAGATGGTCAAACCCTTCGACCAGAGTTATCTTTTGGAGAAATCATCCATATTTGAGTTCATATTTGGTGTTTGTACAACAAGCATAAGTCTGAGATTTATTTTCATTGCAGGTGGATGAGCAGCAAAACCAAATGGAGGAAGTTCATCCTGATCGTCTTGTTATTGATGAACCTCTGAAGATGGTAAACACTAAATAAATTAGATGCCCTCTTGCCTTTAATAAGATTATGCTCCATTGTTAGTTATATATATATATACATATATATATATTTGTCCTTGCAGGATGAACCAGACAAGGTAAGCTCCCTGGACGCCGCCTTTGATCAACAGGAGCAGCAAAAACAAGAAGCAGATGTGGAGGACCAAAACCAGAGGGACACAGAGCAAAAGGAACAACAATATATTTCCCAATCCTACCGCAATCAGAGAGGCGACATCCATGGTGGTGACAGAGGCAGCGGTGGCCGGAGGGGTTATTCAAACGGTAGTGGCGGCAGAGGTGATTACCAGAATGGACAGGGTCAGGGTCAGTACTATGACTCTGGCTTTTATCCTAAAAACTATTATACCACAAATGCCTAAATTATAGACCCATCTTTTTTGGCGAGTCTTTTGAAGTAGTAACTATTTTGCTCGAAGGGCACTGTTATATTTGATAACTAGCATCATGACACGTTCTTTACTTTAAACTACTCTATTATATCTGTGTTTTTAAAATCTTATGTGCTTTGCTTGGAGCTATCGATGATAACATGCATCTATAGTCTTGAAACAAATCATTATATCTTGTCTTGTGTGCATGGAAAAGTGGTTGAGTAAATAAATCTGTGGCTAGTTTGAGTTATTGTCCCAAAAAGAAATTTGGAGGTAGAAGTTGAGGTTGAGATCAAGTCTTAAATTTGAGGTTTGTAGTCAAAAGATCAAGTTAATTAATTCTTCTAGTTGATCATTAAGAAGTAAAGAGATACATGTAACTCCATTGATTACATGCCACGAATGCCACATTGGATTAGAGTGTTGAAATATGAGGAAATGGCATAAGGTGATGATATAGAAATAAATGTTTAGGTTCAACAAAAACGATTAGATGAAAACAACTGCTTGAATCTAATGAGAATACCAACGTGTTCTAATTTACTATTTACAATTATCCAAAATTGTTTTAAATTTTTATCCGAAAAGTGCTTGCTTTATTATATAATTTATATATATATTTGGGAGATATTCCTATAGTAAGTATAAACATATAAACCTGAAACATACCACATGCTCATGTCGCACATGAAGAGTTTTCTGCTTGCTCATAATTCACATGGGAGCGGCTGACCGTATTCCACGTGAGCTCTAATAAGAGAAAAGGTTATATATATATCCCTTCAGCAATTTGTTGGAAAGGTATTTATTCTCCTCTTTGTTTGTATGAACTTTTATGACTTAATATAGTTTTACTTATGTAAGAAAAACATAAACAATAATATTGACTACAGCTTTTTGGATATAAATTAGATTCAAATACCTTTAATCACATTTTTGGAATCACTCGGATAAAAAAGATTTTTAAATCATTTAAAGAGTCGCTTTTATTTCTTTCCACGTGGAGTCCTTTATTGTAGCTCTCTTTGCGACACAATGATGCGTTTCACGTGATCAAGGTGCACATCAGTTTTCCTTTTACTCTTCTCCAACCTGCACACACGCACAATGATCACTCCAACCAGGACGTTCTTCTATCGCTAGTGGGACCCACGGGACTTGTGTTTGGGGTGAGGGCGTATCGTGTACCCTGCGCTTGAGGTTGCAGGGAATCCACCATCTTCTAAAGAATCCTTGTGAATCCTACTGGCCGCTCAACGCCTCCCGTTCCACGATTCACACTTCCTCCTTATCCGTATGTCCCAAGGAACCGACTTCTGGCACTTCCCATCTCTCTCAAGAAGCCTGTTGGGCCCGCACGATTTGACCAATCATAACCAAGGTGAAAAAGACGGGCGCAAAGAATACTGCGCGGTCGATGTCAAATCGTCTCTCCATCGGTCTGCTACGCGTCTTCGACGAGTCGCCAGAAGAAATTAAAACAAACCCCGGAAAAAATAAACTATAATTTCCGGTCAAAATTGGTTACCGCTGCCTCCTTCCTTCTTTAAAAGAGGACCCCTCGGTGTGCTTATTATGTCTAATTCTTTATGCGTTGTTTTCCTTTTATTCACCTCGATTCACACCAATCGCTTTCTGTTGCTGCCCTCTTCGGTTTCATGATAGTAAGGGCGACTATTTCCGAGCCGTCTCCTCTCGGAGGCGAATCGCCGTGAGCGAACCCGGAGTTCCAAGTTGGACCACCGGTGCGGGATATCACGTTCGAAGAGGAGGAAAGTGAGAGGTGGTGGGCAAGATCAAGATTGGCGTCCGCGTCAAGGTCCAATGCCATCAAGATTTGTTTCCTGCGTCTTGTTTATTTCGCCTTTTTATCCTATCTTTAGTGTCATGCTTTCTTTCGATGAGGAGGTTTAGTGGTGTTTTCTTAAAGTAATACTTTTGTGCGCTGATCTTGTGATCGTTTATGGGGTTGATGGCGACTCTAATGCAAATTGCAGTGAACGTCTGATTCATTTGTGGGAAATAAAGCGGTAAAAATCGTTCGTTCTTTGAGATACATACGAGATATCACGTCCAAGAAGAAGAAATCGAAAGATAGCGAACAAGAACCGGGAGAGCGAACATGATGGCGGGCAAGATCAAGATTGGCGTCTGCGTCATGGAAAAGAAGGTGAAATGCCGCCAAGATTTCTTTTCTCCCTCGTTTTTGTTATTTTCGCGTATTTTATCCAATCATTGTGGTATTCTCTTCCGTAGAGAACGTGATGTTGCTAGCCGAGCTTTTTTTGTGTGTTCTTTTATTCTGCTCGAAAGGTACTGTTTAGTTGTGATTCTTTCGAAGTGATCTTTTCTTTTATTCCGCTCGGTTATCTCTTTTTATCTTTTGGCTTGTCCGTTCCGTGTTTGTTTGATGGCGGGGATGGCGACTGTGGGGGAATAGTCAGCCCTCGGATTCAAATCCAAGCAAAGAGCAGGTCACGGAGTTAAAGCATTGGTCTCGATTATTTTTGGGGGAAACAAAGGGGTAGCAGGTCATTCCTTGGGATATTGTACAAGATATAACGTCCAAGAAGGAGAAGGTTGCAAGGCAGTGAACAAGAACCGCGAAGAGCCAACAGGAGCAAGAGTGATGATGGCGGACAAGATCAAGATTGGCGTCTGCGCTAGGGAAAAGAAAGTGAATTCCTCTCTTTTTTTGTTCGTCTCGCCTTTTTATCCTATCGTTTTTGCCGTGGCTTCTTTTGACGAGATGGTGATACAACACACGTTTGCTTTTCGTGTTTTCTTGGTTAAGAATTCTCTCTATTTCGATCTTTTTATTCATGTGGCCTTGTTATCTAATATTTCCTTGTAGCTTGGCTTCTTTCAATGATGTGCGATGACATACTGCTTCTTTTTCTTTCTACTTGGTTTTTTTGAAGTGACATCTTTTGTGGTTCTTTACTTGCTTGAAATTTTGACAAAAAAACCATCTGATACATCATTGCTGTTTGGTGCTATCTTGTTCTTGAGGCGATTATGATTGAGGTCCTTTTTTTAAAATGAAAATCTTGGTTGTAGTTCTCAATATGTTGGTTGCTGGTTCATAGGTGTCCTCTGCTCCTATGGGCCAAATCCTGGAGAGGCTGCAGGCATTTGGAGAATTTGAGGTGTGGTTTTTAGTTCTTGATTTGCAGTTTGGTACAGTTATACTAGGCTAATGTGTCCTCGTTAAAACAAGCAGAGGTTGTTGATTAAAGATGTTAGCAAATTTAAATTTCATCCTCCATGCTCTGTTTCCATCTGTATTAAGTTCGTTGTGATCAACTGCTTTTGAGCTGCCTTGCAAGATAACATTTCTATGTTCATGTAAGGGGCTGCCATGTGCTAAGAGATGTCAGTTCATCTGCTTGCTTGTGTGTCATCTCCAGGATGAATGCTCATTTCTAGATTAGAGAATGTTGCATATGGGCTTTACACATCACTTCTACTTTAAAAGGTTCTTTACTTTTAAAATTGGTGCATCCACTGATGTTAGTTATTTGTTGGCTGGAATATTGGAGTTACATTATCTATGATTAATGTGCTGAAAATGTTGTTTCATTATCTGCAAGCTTGTATGTAACATGCAGGATGATTGATTAATAACAGATTAGAGGATGATGCATGTTGCTTTTACCGAGTTCTTTTCCTTTAAAAGGTTCCCTGCATTTTAAATTTGTGCATCCATCCACATTGGTAATTTGTTGGTTGGCACATTGGACTAAACATTGTATATGCTCTAAATTCTTACCAAATAGTCATTATTTTTCAGTAGCATATTGGAATAATTGGTAAAGATGACATGATTATTAGTTATATTGATGTAAAGAACTAGTATGCTGTGGAAACTATTGATTGTAACTTGATGTTGAATATTTGAAGAAGCATACCAATTCTAATGTTCACAAAGTTCTGATTGGTGAGTTTGGGTTTTGCAGTAGTACATTATCTTTCCTTTTCATTTCATTTATTGAAACTGATTTGGTAGTATAAGTAGCTTTTTTGGGTAATGTTCATAATATGTGGAGAGGGATGTGATATTGATATTCCCTCCCATATGTTGCAGTCCATTATGGCCATGCCAAATTCATGCGCATGGGAGCTCTCAATCTAGTATATGCTTGTTTATATTTTATATTTTCAATAAAACCTAAAGTTGTTTTGGATCACAACTTTTCTAGGACTAACTAAAGCATGAATCAAATTTGATGTGTTGCAACAACAATCATTTTGGTGATATTGTTGTTTCCTTGTATCATTTCTTTCACAGCTTGCTCATCTTTTGCATAAACTGGTTTTTTTATACTTTTATTCCTTTAGAGGCCTTAAACTTTGCAACTGATTTAATAGTTTAATTCATTCTCATATCCCAAGCATATTATATGAACTATGTGCATTACTTCTTTTGTCTCTTACATATTTTTTGCATTTTGTTTCTTGTGGTCTCCTCATATGATTCTTGAGCAAACTTCAATTATATCAACCAATATTCTTCTGTTTCCTCCACTAGTTATACCCTTGTGTTTCTTCTCACATGCTTCTCAGTCAACCTACCCTATTGTTTTACCACATAAATGCTTGCGACCTACTATGCACATTTACGTTGAGAATGTGAATTCTGAATGCTGAATTATCAATTCCCATCTCTCATATTATCATTTATTTTTTTTTCAGAACAACCTTGACTCAATCTGACCCTAACTTTGTAGGACGATTTAACCTTTTCCTCATCCTATGCTGTAGTAAAATGTTAATAATCATAAGTTAACACATTAACAACTATATTGCTTAACAATCCAACTTGTGTGAGGCCTAAATTACATTTTCCTGACCGCTTGATTCCTATGTTAGCCCTTACCAACAGGTAATTTCTTTCAATTGTCATAATCTGCATCAGCAACTGGTAATATGTTTTCATTTTCTTCACAAACTTCAGTAATATTCACAAATTTTCTGGTTCTGCATATTTATGAAATCCTCCTTAGTTCATTTTCTTTGTTCCTGTTCCAACCAGCAAAAAAAAATTATCTACGTAAAAAAACCTAATGTTTTAGTATTCTTAGTATTATATATAATGAGTTCCTTTTGCTTTGGATGCAGATTATAATCTTTGGGGACAAGGTTATTCTTGAAGATCCGGTAGAGAGGCATGTCACGGTTTTCGGAATATTGAATTGTTAATGCTGTTATTTGGGGTCTTTTATATTTATTGACTTGTTACAAGGAATTTAATTGGTTACTTAATATGCTGAGAAATTTGTACTAACTACTACCTAGATCTATTCATCTTGTTGCATATATTTGACATTGTCAAACTTGTCTACATGTGTTTGTTGGTTGGAACAGGAACAAAGTGTAAAAATGACAGATCATAGTTGTATTAGAATCCTGTTTAACAATGCCAAGGGAACCAAAAAAGAAAACAATGTTATCTGTTGCACATTTTGTGTAGCCATGGGTTAAAGTTCCCTTAGTCTCCCGTAGGCGGTGCTGGTCACTGGCTGGTATAGAGGTGCCTTGTGCTGTCATGTGCCATTCATGCGTTAAGGGCTGTCAGGTGAACTAAGTAGGTTGCAAATCAGTTCTTATTCCAGTGCAGCAAGGACTGGCATTCTTTGTGCAGACACTTTTAGAAATGGTTAGAACTTCTTCTTTGGGAAGTTCCCTTATTTGGTTTTATTTTCAAGCCATAATAGATAGATCTGTTTTAGGATGTTTTGCACATTTTGTTTTTCTAAAGCTTATATGTATTTTCCTAATGTCAAATTACTCCTATGATGATGCCTATTTTGTGCCAGCCTTTTGAATGCACTGGTCTCTAGTTATTTTTTACTGATACTTTCTTTTTTGTTGCCCTTAAACATATCTTTCTTGACTAACCATGAGTTATCACATTTGTTAACATTTCAGCTGGCCAATTTGTGATTGCTTGATTGCATTTTATTCATCTGGTTATCCACTTCAAAAAGCTGAGATGTATGCGGTTTTGCGGAAGTGAGATTCTTTCTCTTTTGTATTCATGGATGCTATTTAGCTGATGTAAAGCAGAAAAGCTAACGTGTATGATCTTCCAATGCATCAGAATCCTGTTGGTGCGACTTTAATATGTGCTCATCTTTTCTGTAATCATTTTCTATTTTACCTGCTATTATTGAACATCATCATTTTCTGACAATAGTTCTTGTTCATAAACTGTATTTTCTACAGATTTTGTTGAAGTAAAAGAATCTTGTTAGTTTGTTGTTTGTCAAAATCTAGAATTTAACAATGTATTTGGAATAGGATCTAATAAGAATCACTAAAGCTTGAGAACATAAGACGATGGAATTTTAAACAACTAAGCTGCTAACTGTCACAGGATATCTAATTTATCATACCATATATACAACAACCTAAACTAATGATTCATCTTAGCAGTCATATATACTTGTATTGATCTTTGCTGGTTTTTTAGTGCTGTCTTCCTTCTTGCTTTACTACATAATTAGGGTTTTTTTTATCATAGATAATTATGATTTTATGTTGTAGATGCTTATTTAGGATTCATCATCCATCAATTTTGGATAATCTTTACATCTAGGTGGAGATGATTTTTCTCATTATTGAGATTACTTTATGTAATTTAGAGCATTTTGCTATTGATAAGATAAATGATTTGGGTCAAGGAACCAATTTTGGGCACCAGATCGGTATTACCGGTCTGGCAATGATAATTGGTTTCGATCAAGGAATTCAATTTTGGGAGCCTAACCCATGCCATTCCATGGTTGGACGAGTGTCTGGTTTGATTCGACATATATTAGCATACAATCAAGGATTGAAATACCGTACCGTATCGATATTTCGAGCTTGGCTCGGTATGGTACGGTATCGTGTATCGAGCGACACGTCAGGGCGTATCGAGCTGTACACCTAATTTAGGTGTAAAATCCTTCGAAAATACCTAAAAATAAAAAGGTTAGGGTAGGGTTTTTAAGTTAGAAATAAATATAGTAATTGTATAAGTTTGGCAAAATCAATGTAAATTAGGTAGAAATAGTATCACATATCTTTTTCGGGCTTTGAGGAATAGTCTTGTGCAAGGTTCGTATTTCAGACCGTTATGGATTGTCCTTCTGTAAATATTAAAATATTTATAGAAAAATCATTTGAATTGTTAGACTATTTTATTACCTTGTAAACTCTAAAATTCAAATGAATTAAATAATCACATATATAGATATATCTTATTGTTGATTCTACCACCAAAACGAACCATCGGCCTTCACTGGTGGTGGATCAGGATCCTTGATCCTATACATCTGCATATCAATATGATATGTTTGTGGACCAAATCATGAAATTGATCCTACGACATAGTGTATTGATACATCGTATGCCATTCATCATAAATCACATTTGTCCGAGGCAGCTCTTGAGACATGTATTAGTGAATGTCAGAGCTTCTACTTTCATTACTGATCGGCTGCTCTGTATCATACTGTTGCTCAGAGAAGGATGACCAACTATCACCGTACTGTTGTTGCCCGTATGATTCTCCATAATACGACGACTGTGAATTCGATGAGCTTCTTTCTGTGTCTACATCATGTTGGCTATATTGCATATGCTCAAATTCATCCATTGCCTTCCCAAATTAGCCTTAATTCAATACATAAATCGTTGTTTTGTAGAGTTTAAGAGAGCACAAATGTGAGAAAAAAAGAGTTTGAGATAGTTTAAGAGAGTATGAGAATGAAATGGAGTGAAATAGGGGAAAAGAAGAGTTTAAAAACCTATGGGAAAGGGCTCCAATAGTCAATTTGACCGTTGGATCACTATTACCGAGCAGTAATAGTCGATTTTGAGCGTTATCGAGATGTGTCGGGCGGTAACGGTCGAAATTTCGATCGTTACCACCCGATATAACCCCGTATCGTCCGATACAGGGTGCTTTTAAGCGTTCTGCCCTGTAGTGGGCGGTCCGCGTACGCTGTCGGACTGGTATGTACCGCCCGTACCGGGTGGTATCAGTCAAAACTGTATACCTTGCATACAATACTTTCGTACATATGACATACTAATTTGTGGAGGGAGGGAGAGGTGGGAGGAAGAAGAGGGGGGAGGAAAGAGGAAGCAGAGGGAGAGAAAGTTGTGTATTGAAGATGAGGGCGGCAACCGGTTGATATGTGGGCAGTGGAGAGGAGACAATTGTGATGGGTTGTAACTCATGAGCCCTAGTGTTGCAACATTTAAAAAGAACAAGAAAGAAAACCTAAGTTAATAAACCAGACCGGACTGCTCGAATTTAAGTGATCTGCATCTCGGTGACTGATTGATAAATACCATCCGAAGCATGCTGACCCAGGCGAGATTAGAAACCCTTATTTGAATTAGTTTCTTTTCTTGACAATATCTTCATTCAAACATATTTTTAATTATCTTCTGCATTAGCTTAGCTTCTTTCTCATTTTCTTAGATGGTCTTGGTAGGTGGAATAGAGTTCATAAGGCTATCATGTGGCAACTTATTAAATTTACAAAGAATCTAAAATATTAAAATTAATTCCAAAGATAAATCAAACAAAATACCTCCTTCTTCAATAGTGGATTCTTATTTTGTTCTTCCTAAGAGTATGAAGTCTAAAATCTATATTTGTTTGGAAGAAAGCAAAATGTGAATCCTAACTTGTGTTGAGGCATGGTATGGAATTTTACTAGAACTTAAAATGTGGCGATGTACATCGTTATATTATTAGTTTAAAAGAAGATTGGCAGTTAAAAAAAGTGGCATTTCTGGCAGTGATTTGAATCATTCCAGAGTGGCTATGATTGGTGGCACATGGAAGATGCATGCTTAATGGATTACCTTAGTAATCTATCCATAAAATATCGGAATCCTTCGCTTTAGAAGACTTCATGGATGGACAATCTTACATGTCACGTCTGGTTTCACCGTTGCACTGCATCTACATCACCTTGAAGCCTAAAAAAGAATATTAGCTTGGGATATTATATTGTCTTGAAGCAATCCATCGAATCACATTTGATTGTAATGGTAAATGGATGAGGATTCGTACACAATCTTGGATGTTGCAGGTGAAAAGATTGGTCCAATAACATATTATTGTATATAGGTATACTTCAGGAAATATTTGGAGTTAAACATGATGACCAGAAAAATCTATATTTCTTGCTTAAATGAATTAAACTGTGGTGGGGAAATTAAACCAGATATAAACTTTGTTACATAAGAGGAAAAACGTGGATATTCAAGGACCAGAAGTAAGATGATTGTCAAATTTTAGCATCTAAGCCGATGATATGTGCAACGTGTTCATTGAATTTCATCTTTATTTTTGTAATTTCTTTTGATGTTTGTCCACAGGTAACAGCTGATTCTTTTAGTATGTGAAACTTAAATGATCGTTATATGCAACCCATATTTTGCTAAATACCAAGTTATGATCAAGTAAAATTTGAGAGGTTTTCTTTTTGAAGTACTAGAATTAGAGAGTATATTATGTGACCAGTTGTCTCTAACCACTTACTGCATATTTTATTTGACTACCACTGGGACCATCGACCATCTCATGCAATTCTACAAGTTTGCCTATGCGATCTGAGTCTTTGTCTAATCTATATGGGTATTATTATCTACTTAGGCCTCTTTCATTCGGTAGTAATAGAATTATCACATCACTTTTTATCTTTATGTTATTGTATGCTGTTGCTTAATGCTGGACATCTGTTGATACATTGCGAAGAAAAAATAAAAGAAATTTCCAGCTCATAGGACTTATTTTTTATTTAAGGCATGTTTAGGCCTCTTTCATTAGGTAGTAATAGAATTATCACATCACTTTTTATCTTTTTTCTAATGTATGCCATCTGTTGATACATTGCGAAGAAAAAACAAAAAAAATTTCCAGCCCATAGGACTTATTTTTGATTTAAGGCATGTCTTGGCTGATTAAATCCAACATATTGGGAAGAGAAAAAAGTGTATGCTGTTGCTTAATGTTTGACATCTCTTGATACATTGTGAGGAAAAAAAGCAAAGGAAATTTCCAGCCTATAGGACTCATTAAATTCAACATATTGGGAAGAGAAAAATCCTACTGCTAGTTGAAGTTTCACTAGTAGAGGAAACAGATACATAAATGTTTGATGGGGGTGTCCATTCTCACTCTAAACAAAAGAGTGGGTGTGGTGAGTAGGGGATGCATAGCAAGTTTGTATCGTGATTGTTAAATGTCACTTCTCTCTAAAAGTGATCAGTAAAGATAGTCAATATTTATTCAAGAAGTTTCTTTTTTAAGTATTGTTTTCTCTCATTAGATATCGACCTAAGTAGATGTTCAAGATCCTGACTCATAGTAATCTTTGTTGTTTTTAGGCCATTTTTAGTCAATGAGTTGGAGCCGCAGCATCTTCTTCATGACAGGAGGAAGGTTTATGAGGTTGGACGTTCAAACTGGTTCCTGTTTCAAATTTGCTTTTGCAAAACTCTCTAATTTGATGCTATATCAATCAGACTAAGTAGATAGTGCTGATTTGCTATATGTGCTCTGTGTGACAACCGCTTCATATTTGTGCTAATTATCAATTAGACTAAGTAAATAGTTAACTGCTGTTTGCTTTAGAATGATTGTGGTGCATTCTCAGAAACAGTTTCCTTATTAGTTATTGCATTCTCATTTTCTGGTGATTTTACTATCTTTTTCTGGAATTTTCAATGGAAGTTTTCAAATGTTATAGTGAATCAAATTTCGAACAGTTAATGGAATGTATTTTATGACTCATAATATGAGAACATGAATTGATTTGACATATTGTTGGTTGTTTATAATTAACTATACCAGATTAGAAGTCATTTTAATTGTTATCTAGAGTTGGTATAGTGGTATTATTTGAATGGGAAAAACTATTAAAATTTGGATCTTGGACATTGTTGTCATTGATTTTTTCCTATTCTTTTTATGGTTTTGGTGACCTATCCTTCTTGTTGGTGTTGCTTAATTTTGGAACTAATCATTGTTGGTCATTATTTGTGAAGAGAAAACTACTCAAGTATGTTGTTGAACTTGATGAAATGGAAGAAATGTTTGGGGAGGTTTGATGCATGGTTTGATGTATGTTGGTCAATATTGTTTATTTTTATTTTTTATTATTTTATTTAATGATAGTGGGTGTTGTAGGTTGGTATACCGGTAGTGTATTGGTTCAGTAGGTTAAATCTTTATGAGATAAGTTGGTTGGTTATGCTGTTATGGTAGAAAAAGGTAGAGTTTTTTTTTTTTCAGCTTGAAATTAAAATATGTAAGGATATATTGGGGATATAATTTCTTAATAATGCATTATTTGTGTTGGACTTGTCAATATGCTGATTGTAACGCATATTGGTAGTTGCCATGTACTATTTGGTTTTATATTTTTTTCTAGCACAAAACAAAGTAGAAAAAATAGTGAAAAAGGAAGTAGAAACTGTAGGGGTGAGAAATGGAGGCATAAGGAGTTCCTGCTTTTAGCCATGTCTTCTACCTTTCCTCTTCTCGTTTAATCAAGGTCCAAAACATTATGATTTGATAAGGATTAATCATGTGGAAAAAATAGGACCAGATCATACTTTAAGAAACCATTATGGAAAGAAAAGTTAAGAAAGGGAAACAAATAACAGACAAGACTTTTAGAAAAACAGGGTCCCTTACCATACTAATCAAGGTATCATGTTACTAATTTTTCCATTGGATCTGTCATAAAAAATTTACCAATTATCTAATTTTTCTTCTTCATTTCAATACAAAAGATTTATGATTGAAATAATTGTTTGGGATGCTGGACATACTTTTATTGACCTCTAGCTCTTGAGATTCAAAAGATATTTTTTTAAGAATTTAAAGTAATTTTTCACTTTTAAATGTATACCTTATATTTTAATGTTTGACTTGTATTATTTGAAACTATCTGTTTATATTTTTCAATTGCTATTTTAATGATGCTAGTTATAATTTATAAACTGTGTTTTTTATGTATATTGGTATTTTATTTTTTAATTTCATTAGAATTAGCTTTTTTTGGATTATTTTTTGATGAATTATTCTTCTCTATATCTACTGTATTATTTTGCACATTTTATTATATTGCTCACATGATATCTTTATTAAGTTCTGTTTACAAATTATTATCTATTACATATATGAACCTTTTGATTTTCTATTTTCTTTTTTTACTTATCCTTCATTACTATTTTTTTTTCCTTGACGGTGTGATTGCTGTACATGATTTTTGACCTCACTTTCATGATATATTGTTATTTTTATTTTTTATGTAAATTTTTTTATTGTATTGATTATTGTCATTTTTTTCGTGATACTCATTATTTTGTTCTATGTGCACGGTAGGATCCAATTAAAAAAAAAGATGAGTTTTAGAAAATCTAGGTTCCCTCACCATATTAATTAAGATCGTATGTTTCTAATTTTAACATTGGTTATATTATAATTTTAAAGACTTATGGTTTATCTGATTTATCTCCAAATTTTAATATATAAGATTAATGATTTGAAATAATGGTTTAGGATGATAGACACACTTTACTTGAATTTTATCTCTTCAAACTAAAAAATGTCTGTTTTAAGTTTTAAAATATAATATTTCACTTTTAAATGTATAAATAATATTTTTAACTTTTGACTTGTGATATTAAAGCTAACTAATTGCTGTTATGATGATATGATTAGATGTGCTTTATATAATATCATATATATATGTATATATATTTATAAAGCTATTTCTTGCTTTTATTAGAATAATAATTTTCTCTTTTCTAGTCAAAAGATGCTTGTTTTGAAATTTATAATTTGTTTTTTATATGAAATATATAACTAGTATTTTTAACTTTTGACTTGTAATATTTGAAGGTAACCATTTGTATTTTTTAGTTCTGATTTTGATGATATGCTTAGATGTGCTTTATAAAATGTTATTTCTTGATTTTATTAGAATTATAAGATTTTGGATTATTTTGTCATATTATTCTAATAAATTCATTTCGCTGTTGTTATTAGTTATTATTAATTTTTTGTTGTACTCAATATTTTGCTGATATGATTAGACCAGTATTTTTTTTTATTTTATTAAAATAATATTTCTTTGATTGTCTTCTTGTATCTTTATCCTTTATATATGCTATATTCTTTTAGATATTTTATTATCTATATATTTATATCATTAATAAGTTTTATTTGTACATTATTATTTATCACATATATGGATTTTTTTAATTTTCTAATCGTTTTTACTTCTTCATTACTATTGTTCTCTTATAATTATTGTTAAAAAATGACCTTATATTCAGGGTTGTACATTATGCTATTTATTTATTTATTTTTATGTTATTTATTTTCCATTGAGATTTTTATTAAGTTATACTCGCACATTATTATTTATGTCATTTATTAATATTTTGATTTTCTATTTTTTTACTTCTCCTTGGTTACTGTTTTCTTTTATTATAATTACCGGACAAAAAACTTGATCTCATATTCATGATTTTACATTATGCTATTATATATTCATTTTTTATGTTTGTTATGTTTCTTTGTTGTTATTGTTTATTGTGATTTTTTACAACACTTGTTATTGTTATGTTTGCTATATTATTTTACATATTTTATTATTTTAATATATACATAATATCTTTATTATTAGGTTTTGATTTTTCATTATTATATATCGCATATATGAATTTTTTGATTTTTATATTTGTTTACTTCATCATTATTTTCTTTTTGTTATTGCTGCACAAGATTTTGACCTTATATTCTTGATTTTACATTATACTACTATTTATTTATTTCTATTAAATTATGTATGGTTGTTATTATTTGTCATTGTTGACTTTTGTATTACCAATTATTTTTTTGTGCAAATTCATGAGGATCCATTTCCAAGAAGAATGAGTTTTAGAAAATATATGTTCGTTCACCATTTTAATTAGGACCGTGTTACTAATTTTTTCGCTAAACCTATTATAATTTTTTAAAAGATTTTGTCAATTATCTATTTTTCTTGTTAATTTCAATATATAATACTTATGATTTGAAACAATGGTTTACGATGTTAGGCATACGTATCTTAAACTTTTTTTGACTCCAATATATTTATTTTAAGATTTAAGATTTATGTATTTTCACTTTTAAGTGTATAACTAATGTAACTTTTGACTTGTAATATTTAAACTAATAATTTGTATTATGTAATTGATATTTTGATGATATGATTAGATGTGCTTTATAAAATGTTATATATATAAATTTATTTCTTGAATTTCTTTGAATTAATATTTTTTTTGGGAGTATTTTTGTTGTATTATTCTACATTATATATCTGATATTGTTTTTCGTATTCCCTTATACATCCACATGATATCTTTATTAAGTTTTGTTTATCCATTATTATCTGTCATATGCATAAAATTATTGGATGGTGTGATTACTCTACAAAATTCTTTAGTTCTGAATATGGTTTAACTATAATATACTTTGATCTATTCTTGGTGTTGCTGGTCATGAAAACATTGCTATTTTTGGATCGATGCGATTTAATGGTTCCATAAGTTAGTGGTTATATTTTTTAGTGTTTATTCATATGGATGCTTTAGGATATCAATAGTTAAACTTCATTATTAAGAAGATTAGTTGTTTTTCATAATCCTGAAGCCTTTTCTTATACATAATTTATTGTTCAAGCGTCTTGAAATGTTTGGAGTCCCAATTCCAAGTTATGCTCTGGTGAATAGAGAATATCCATATCAAGAGCTAGATTATTTCGTCGAGCAAGAAGATTTTGTCGAGGTTCATGGGAAGCGCTTTTGGAAGCCTTTTGTTGAGAAACCTATTGATGGTAAGCATGTTGCATATTTAGCTTATTAAAATTTGGTAATTTCACAAAACCTATTGATGGTGAGCATGTTGTTTTTTTAGCTGATGAAAGTTGGTAATGCCGTAGAACTGATTGCTTTGACTAATGAATCATAGAGCTTTAAGGACATCATGTGTTTGCTAGTGATTTAAAAAGCGCTAGGCGCTCGCCCAAACACTCGCCCGAGTGAAGCGAGGCGCTAAAATATAAAAATATATAATATAATTAATAAATATAATTATTTAAATAAAAAATAGGTTATTAGATTAAGAAAATCGGGTACAAAATCACAATGTCACATTAATAAAAAGTCTCAAAAATCAAAACAATAAAATTTTATTTCAAATTTATTGAGTTGCTCTGTATACTTGCTATTTATTCTGAAACCTAACAATAATTTTAAATAAATAAAAATTAATAATATTAAAATCAAAATAATATATTATTAATCTAATAAATAAAATTACTATTATTAGTGTACAATTAGCAGTATACTGTTAATAGTATAGTGAGAAGAGTGTGAGAAGACCGAGGCTGTTGAGGCAACGACAGCGGTAGCAGGCGACAGCGATAGTTGGAGCGGCGATCGACAGCGGGAGTGGGAGGGGGAGTTGCGAGCGGCGACAGTAGCGGCGAGTGACGACAACAGCGGCGAGCAACGATTGTGGCAGCGGCGAGTAGCGACAGTAGCGGCAAGCAGCGACAATGGAGAAGAAATCTCGGTGGCAAAATTGTGAGTGTTAGGGTTGGGGAAGTCGGGGAAATCGCGAGAGGAAGCCTGATATCGGTGATTTAGTTGGTTCGATTGAACCAATTAAAGCACCGGAGACCAACCAGACCTAAAAATCTGGTTCGGTCGCCTGGTTTAACCTAGGCGCTCGCCTGAAGCGCCCAGCGCTTGGGCTCGAGCGAGCACTCAGGCGGTGCCTCTTTGAAGCGTGCCGCTTGGAAATGAAGCGAGGCGCTCGGGTTAGGTGAGCGCCCTTACGCCTATTGTAATCACTGGTGCTTGCATCTGTCCAAGTCAATATTTTTCTCAAGGTTTGCAATTTCATATTGGTTCCCTTACTAGTCAATGGTTGGACAAGTATTAAGGTACTGTTTTGCTGGGGTCGGGAGGAGGAAGTAGGAAGGGGAAGAAGGGAGGAGGAAGGAAGAAGGGAGACGAAAGAAGAAGAAAAGGAGAAACAAAATATCGTAGATGAGGCAGCGGTGGATGGTAGGAGGCGAGCTGTAGGAGGTGGGTTGCAGGTGGCGGGTAGTGGGTGATGACCACACGATAGCATGGAGAGGGACAGTGAGAACTCGATGTTTAGGGCTTGCAACTCCTTGAGAGCCCTAAAAGGGCCTCGTCGGGTCCTTTTCTAGTTTGGTTCAGTTCTTTTAAAAGAAAGAAACCCAAGACCTCACATTAAAAATGAAAGGGACCGAATATCTTGGAATGGGGGCAGACCACATCTCAGTTTGGGGATTGGTAGATACCGATCAACACGAACTGAGCGCAAAATTAAATTTCTTGATTTTATTTTAGCCTTTTCATTACATTGAATTGGCTCACCCATCCTAATTTTTCAGTTGGTATAAACCTAATCGAGCGAACTTTAATTACTTGATTTTACTCCTATATTTTTTATTACATTGAATTGGTTCATCTTTCGACACTACACTTGACGTCTTATTTATGATTTGTGAATCATTAGGAGCAATCTTTAGTGTACTCAGCTTGAACCTTAAAAATGGGTGGCTTAGCGAACAAGTCTCCCCGTCAAAATGAGTCTTGGGATGGCTAATGTGCACAGCCATTTTCCTGCAGGTTGAGAATAGGTTTCTATGACTTATTATGGATACTCAGTTCACAATGGATCAACCTTCACATTATACCAATGCTTGGCTTCCATTGTACCTCTAATTATGAAACAAACTATTCCTAATTATTTTTTGGTCACACCACAACTTCCTCTCATATTTCATCAAGTAAAATCTATACTTTCTACATGTTTCTAATGGTTAACACTTGTATGTGAAACATGGGTAGTTTTTATTGCCAAACAATTTTGCTATTGAAAAACACAACTAATGCAGTTGTGTTAATTGACATGTGTTGGCACTTTCCAAATGTGTTATGCCGAACGGGTATGAGCATGCACTATGCTAGGCTATGATGTATGTGTCAGCTTGACTAAGTTTTGGCTCATATTGGTCAACGCAAGTGCATGTCATCACATTGCAACTCAATATTTCGTTATTGTAGCAAGGAAGCATCTCTCTTATTATTTTACAAATGACAATCCTTTCAAATAGTATCCTTCAGTTTTAGTTGTGTTGGTCGCATCCCATGTTTGTTTTTATGTTCCTTTCAAGACCTTTGCTTTTGGTACATCTTAGTGTTGAATCTCATATTTCGATGATGAAACCACTTGATATATGTATATGATTTAATCTGCGTTTTGAGTGACGCAGGATGCTTCGATCAGGATGAGACAATTAAAAGCAGGAAAAATCATGTTGTGCCGGAGGAATATGTCAGAAGATTGGACGTCAGGCTGGTGGATCGGTCGACGTATCGAAAGAAGGCTTCGGGTCGTGGACTCGGGCATCGGGCCAAGAAGAGCGGGTATTGTGCCAAGGATATCGGAGTTGCGGAGTCAACTGGCCGATTAGGCAATAGGCCGCAGGAGAGGACGATGCGCCGAAGAATCGGACGAAGCGTCGAGGGACCAATGACATGCCGGACAACTTTGTTAATTGCTTAGGATTAATTGTCTCGATCGAAGTTTTGTTTTACATGTGCAGGATTAACTACGATGGAAGTAAGACATGCAACAGGAGTTGCATCGGAGTCAAGACTATGATCATGTTGGGAGTTCGAGAGTTCGACGGAAGTCCGGACGGTCGTCGGAGGTTCTGCGGGAACAAATCCGAGAAGTCCAGTAGCTTGCCAAAAGAAGCTCGTCGGAACTCGCCAAGTGGATCGTCGCAAGTCCAGGAGTTTGCCGGAAGTCCGCAGGAGCATTATCGAGGGTTCATCTGATGATCGACGGAAGCTTGTCGGAAGCTCGCCGGAAGAAGCGATTGACGCATCGGAGCAAGTTGTAGTAAATGTCTTAAGAAAAATCGTAGTTAGCACGATTATTAAGTTAGAAATGGGAGGTGATCCCATTAACTTAATCTTGGGACAATTGGGCCCTTGACAGACCCAAATTGGGTCGAATGGATCAACCCATTCGGACTAGAATTCCTGTTAGGCGGTGGCACCGCCCAGGAGAGGGTCTCCCAGGAAAGCTGGGCGGTGCAACCGCCCCAGTCAGGCGGTGGCACCGCCAGGGCTCAGTCTCCGAGCAAGACTGGGCGGTGCAACCGCCCTTGTCAAGCGGTGGCACCGCCCAGAAGCTCAGTCTCCGTGCTGCCAAGCGGTTGTACCGCCCCAGTCAGGAGGTGGTACCGCTAGGACCCCGGAAATCCGGGAAAAGACATTTTTGAACTCCAAATTCAAACTAGTTTGGGGCCTATATATACCCCACCCTTTCCTGCATGAAAGAGCATCGAAAATCCAATCTTACTCTGTGATTTTTAGAGCTCAAAAGTGTTGTAAAGGCTAGAAGATCTCCTCCCTCTTTTTCCAAGTTTTGATCTTTCAAGAGAGGAGAGAAAAGTTTGTAAGGGTTGTCTCCTAAGCCCGTCAAAAGGAGTGAAACTGTAAAAGGGTGGTTGGCCTTCGCCTATTGAAGGAAGGCTTCTAGTGGACGTCGGTGACATCGTTGGTGGAGGAAGCCAAAAGTGGATGTAGGTCAAGATTGATCGAACCACTCTAAATCTCGGTTTGCATATACTTTGAGCATCTTATCTTTACTGCAAACCTCCTCAATAGCTTACTGCCTTCTGTTCATTTACGAACGTGTTTCATAGTTAAGTATTTTCCGAATCGGTGTTAAGACGAAAATCGGTTTTATTGTACGAACATCATATTTCAGTTTCCGCTTATATTCTAATTTCTATCTTAATTGCAAACTGCCTTCCTTACTTTACTTCAAATACGTTTCCGTAAGCTTTCAAAGTAATTATCTGCACGAAACGACTTTTACGTCGGAATCGGATTTCAACGTACGATGCAGTTTTAATCGTTGAAAGTTTTCCACTGCACTAATTCACCCCTCCCCTCTTAGTGCTCTTGATCCTAACACTTAGCCCTCTATATAGAGGTATTTTCATTTCTTGATTTTATTTTACTAGTCTTTTTTTTTCTTGATAACGTAGATACCATTGCTCTTTATAGTTATATATCAGAATCTCTATAACATGTCGAAAGTTGACAGCCATATAATGTTTTTGGCATGGATTTAGAAGGCATTATGGTTACCTCTTTAGCATTTATGGTTTTAATCTACACCAACATGTGCTGATAACACATGTTGATGTATATCATGCTAGAAATGCACTAGTACATATGACCAGCGCCAAGGTTGTCACTATATGGTTGCCAATTTCTATCTCATGTTGACCATCATAATTTCATGAATCTTGGAATTTATTAATACTTGCCCATGCCAATGTGTTATATAGTGCTCTTATTCCTACCTAAGAAGCATAGAAATAGGTCACAGATACGATGCGACAACATGCCATTTTAAAAAAAATTAGGACACAGACATAACGTGGACACATGTATTTTTTAATATATGTAAAATTCAATTAACATGAGTTTTATAGTATTTATACGTAAATTTTATGGACTCAACAATATGGACAAATAAATATCGTCATATAAGTCTAAATAATTAAAATTATCTAAATGTTAGTATTCAAACTAATGTTTCAGCATATTAAATAATATTTAATAACCACTAGGCTTATTCTCATCATCATTATCACCTTGATCCAGTGATTCATTGATATCATCAGTAAAAATGATTTTTCCAACTTGGTTCATCTAAAGATAAATTTGTAATTTCAAGGTCTCCAACGTCTTCAAATGAATCAAATGT